ACGGGGTTTCACCATGTTGACCAGGATGGTCTCGATCTCTTGACCTCGTGATCCACCCACCTCGGCCTCCCAAAGTGCTGGGATTACAGGTGTGAGCCACCGCGCCCGGCCTTCTTGCTTTGTTTTGTTTAGAGGCAGAATCTTGCTCTATTGCCCAGGCTGAAGTGCAGTGATGTGGCCACAGCTCACTGCAGTCTCAACCTCCTGGGTTCAAGCAATCTTCTCACCTCAGCTTCCAGGGTAGAGCTGGGACCACAGATGTGTACCACCATGCCCAGCTAATTAATTTAAATGTTAATTGCATCTGCAAGGTCTTATTTCTAAATAAGTTCACATTCACAGGTATGAGGAGTTAGGACTTCAGCATCTCTTTGGGGGACACAACAGAAACCTAGGGGGATACACCATCCTGGTTTGCCTGGGACTTTCCCAGGTTTTGGTGCTGAAAGCCCTGCTTCCCAGGAAATTCCTTAGTCTTGGGAAAACTGAGATGCTTGGTCACCGTGGAAGCAGGACAGGACTGGGTAGTGGAGTGGAGACTGCTGAGCAGAAGGCTGTCTCTCTTAGAGACCAGTTTCCTTCATTCCACATGGACGCGCTGGGGCAGACACGGAGAACTTCACAGATCAGAACCACCTTTCCGCAAAGCAGCGACACCGATGCATCAGACATTGTTAGGGTTTTGCCTCTGGGTCTGGAGGGCTGCTGTGTGGGTGGCTCCCATTCCCCAAAACAATTCTCCAAGATCAGGGCAGCCATGAGTCACCAAGAGGCGTCAGCAGCTCGGGACCAGTAGGCTGACCCCTAAAGGGAATCTGAACAGAGCCACCGGTGCCCAACCATCCCCTTGTCCTCCCAGTAAATGGCCTGCTGCCCCACCTACTCACCCAGGTAAACGCACACCTCGACTCCTGCTCACCTTGGTAAACACACACCTGTCTGCCTAGGTAAATGCCCCACTCACTCACCTGTGCATCCTGGTAACCGCTCACTTGCCTCTACAACTGCTCAAGGCTCAGCTGGTAGGAAATGCTTGGCACTCCCCACTCCCACCTGGGATTTCACTATCCACCTCCAGCTCCGTCTGGCATTGCCCACACCTGTCCCTCTGCACGGCCTCCACCTTGGCGCCAGTCGCAGGTGTCTGCCACCTGCACCCACGCAGTGGCCGGCTTTTGAACCCACTCCCAGCCACCCTTCTCTCCTGTTCTCCTCCCCAAAGTGAGCCTGCCCCAGAAAGGCTTGCCACAAACACAAGTCCAATCATGATGGCCTCACTTCAGATGTCTGGGGTGAGTGGTCCTCAGTCCCCGGAAGCCCTGGCCTCTGCCACCTCTCCCATCTATCCCATGCGGCTTCTCCCTCCTCACTCCCAGCTGCCCAGCTCCTCCAATACACAGAGTTCGCACCCAGCCTGGCTCCTTGATGCCCTATCCTGGGGCTCCCACTGCCTCCGCAAAGGGGCTTTCCCTGCTGTACCTCCCTAGACAATACCAGTGCTCCCAGCTGCCATCACTTCTTTCTGCGACTAAAGAACAGACCTGGCTGTTTCCGGGACTGGATGAAGCTGGTCAGTGCTGAAAGAGAGAGGCAGATGAGGGGGTCAGGAATCTGGAGGGGCTGGGGGAGAATCAGAGGCCAGGGAGGAATGGAGCTTTGGGTGGGCACTAACAGACCATTGGATTTGGACAGTCAGAGCTGACACGCAGAGCCCAGGGAGCTGGAGGGTTAGGTCCCTTAGGTCCCCCACCTGCAAAAATGAGGCTGAGGTGGGGGTTGGTCCCTTGGCATGTGAGCCCAGGAGTTTCCCAAGCCAAGTGGCAGCCAAGGCGGTGGGGAGGGGGCAGGCAGGGAGGTGAGGATGGGGCGCTGGCCCTGCTCAGGACTGGTTGGCGTGGAGGGAGCTGGGGCCCAGGCCGCCCCCGCACTGAGTCGAGGCCACCCCGCTTCGAGGGCACGGCCGTCCGGATCCCCTGATTGCTTTCTTTCATCCTGGTGCCTTTCTCCGCCGCAAACGCCAGCTAATGCCTCCTTTATCACAGAATTATGGGATTTAGGGCCGGTCGCACAAAGGGGCCCTCGATAGCGGCCGTAATCAAACGCCAATCGGCCGATCTCGGGCGGGCTGGGGAAGAAAGGAGCGCCGGGGATTAGCGCGGGTACTGCGGCGGGGCCAGCAGAGATAGCATCGTCGCCGCTGCGGGGCTGAAGCCGCGGAGGGCCTGGCCGCGCACGGAGAAAGGCCGGCTTAGCTCCTGGAGCCGAGGATTCTGAAGCCATTAAGGGAGGATTAACACCCAGGTTAATCTGCTTTGGTCGCTCAATTGTCAGCAGCTAACGCGCGGGCTGAGGACGCCTGGCTCCCTGCGACCACAGGGCCTTGCCACCCGGCAGTCCAGAGCTAAGAGCTGATATCAGTTTCCCCAACTGTCACCTGGCCAATGGGCCCTCGGGCCGAGGGGAAGACGCGCACCACGGGCCAAGACGAGTGTGGATTAGTGGACCCCTTGCCCTGGCCAGCCTTCCTGCGTGATCAGGGAACAGCCCTGCCCCTCCTGTGTCAGGCTGAGAGGAGGATGCTCCCGCCCCCTCCAGACCCACACCCTTGTGGACCCTAATCACCACTGCGGCCCGGGGTGCTACCTACACACTGAGCTGGGGCTGCATGGCAACATGCATGACACACCTTTCCCCATCGGACAGGGCCGGGGGCAGCCTGCAGACAAGGTGGATGCTGACAAGGGCAGCTAGCAGCCCCCTTGCTGATCCTCCATATTCCCCTTGGGGTCCTGTCCAGGAATAGCTCCCTGAGGACCTCTGTTGACCAACTCACTGACAGGGCAGATGTGACACCACCTGCTGCCTCTCAATCCCTCCTCACTCCTCATCTTCGGTCCTCTCTCACTAGGCGGCAGAGGAAGGGACTGGGTCTCCACAGGTCCCAGGTGGGTCCTTTTGCTCGGTCTGGATTTTCCTATCTGAGGAATAGAGCGGGCTAAGGAAAGGCCTAACCAGGATATGCCAGTGTCGTGTGTGGCCTGTGCTCACTGCTGCCTTCTGTGGGGACACAATCCCAACCCCAGCTCCTTCTCCTGTTCCTACCAACAGGCCCCCAGAGTAGGTGGCTCAGAGTGGTGTGCCTACACCTGCCTCCTCCTCCATGGGGATGTGGCAAGACCACCGTGCCTTACATGAGCCCACAGGCAGCAACAAGGGGCTGGACTGGAGCTGGCCAGGCAGGCAGGATGGAGTGGGCGGGAGCAGAGGACAGGCGAGTGGAGCCCTCCGGGGAACACGGCTACGACTAGGGACATTGGAACAAAAGGTCACAAGTGGAAGAAAAGACGCAGTCATAAGTACATTTGCCCTCCCTTCCTTCCTTCAGCAGTGACCAACGACTCTCCCATTCAGGCCCTGTGGAGGGGACACAGACGTGAGCCACGGGCCCAGGCTCTGTCCTCTGGGAGCGTGGGTCCGAGGACAAAGTCAGCCAGATGGGAGGGCGCCGTCCGGGAAAGGGAAACAGACACCCCACCTGCACACGGGCCAGGCAGGGCCTGAAGGGCAGTGCGAATTACAGGGAAAAGGCGGAGCGGGAGGAAGAGTGCTCCAGGGCGAGGAAGCCGCGCCCGCAGCGATCCGGAGCGCGGTGGGGAGCAGGTGCGGCGGCAGAAGCCCAGTCCTGGGACACGCAGGCCAGTTCCAGGCAGGGGAAAGGAGGGGCGGGAGAAGCGGGAGACCAGAGAGTGTCCCCTCAGTCTGGAGCCTCAGGGTGACCCCGGCAGCCTCCAGCGTGGGCGGCCGCTGTTCCGGGGAGGCGCCGTCAGAGGCTCGGGGAGGGTGGACGATGCGGCTGGGCCGGCGAGAATCCAGGGGCTGCAGGCGAGGGTGGGGACTCGCGGTGAAACCTGAAGGTCAGGGGCTGGTGGCAGGGACCGCGAGGGGCCTCCAGGCAGCCCAGTCAATCTCGGACTAGGGGTTGAGGCCACAGCAGCGAAGGCTGCCAGGGTCAGAGCAGCGCAGCTCCAGCTTCCGCCGCACCGGCACAGCGCAAGCGCTGCCACGACGGCCGGGCGCGCCGTCGTGACGTCATCAGCGCGTACCGCCCCCACTTCCGAGCGCACGGGTGGTAGCTCATAGAGCCCGGGCGTTCCGGGAACGCGATCCTACTCGGCGGCCCTCCCTGCTTGGATCGGCCACTCCTGAGGCTGAGGAATTTCATTCCTTTTTCGAAAACGGATACCCAGGAAGCCTCTCGGTGCTCCCCCGTGGCTGGGTACTGAGCCGGGCCCGGGTGGTCTGCGGCCAGGGGCCCCGCCCCTCAGCGCAGGCGACCCTCCTGCTGGCCCTGGCGGGCACAGCGCCTCTCCAGTGACCTGGGTCGGCCCGCAGGATGAGCCCCCGGATCACGATCGCTGGCATTTTATTTACCTTCCTCCATTACAACCCCAGGCGAGTCTCCTGGGCCCCGAGAGGAGGCGGTGACAGGCCAGGGCCATCGGCAGCGGTAGCAGGGGACTGCATAGGGCTGCCTCGGGCCGACTAGCAGGCTCGCCGCGAGCCTTGGCGGCCCCAGTCCCCAGCGCATGGAATGTGCCCCGGGCCCCATGAGCTCCCGGACCCGCGGTTGTGAGACAGGGCTTGGGCTGCTTGGAGCTAGTGAGCCATCGGCCACGGCAGGCATTTGAACAGAGCTTGGAGGCAAAGGGGTGAGATGGTGCATCCATTGAGGTCACTTCAGGAGATGACACTCCTGTGGCTAAGTGTAGCCTCCCAGGTAAGGCCCAGTCAATGGAGAATCCTCAGGTGGGCGATGGGTGGAGGATACGTGTGGTTTGGCAGAGGGGACAAATGTGACAACAGTGTAATAAGGGCCATGTTGGGGAGGGTCAGTGGTCAGGGCCTGGCCCAACCTGAGCAGAAGGGAGGCTCTCTTAGGGATATTTGCCAGGTAGGAATGGGTGGAGTGGAACTACAGGGCCACCATGTTTCCCATAGGTCACACACGTTGTTGGCCTTGTCATGTTTATCCACGAATCCTGGTGTTCTCTGTGGTCCTCCCATCGTACCTTTCAGGCTGTCCTTTCAGTTCTCCACTGTCCCTGCATCACCCCTGCCCCTGTCCCTTGTGTGTTTCTGTTCAGTCCACGTTCCCAGGTGTTGAGGTGGCCCCTGATTCTGTGCCCCTTACCTAAGACCCTGTGCAGGGAATCTGTGAAAACAGAGGAAATAAAAAGTGGGGAAAATACTACTCATGCATCATTGACCAATATTGTGTTTGTTGTGAGTGCTGAGAGGGACACAACCCCAAAACCAGCATTCTCTTTGTTGGCTAAGAGGAGACAGACCCACTGTCAGGAGTCACTGGCTTTTTTGAATACTAAGCTGACTGCCATTCATCACCTACACAGGGACCCGGAAGACGGGTGGGGAGGAGGTGGCATGCAGCAGTGTGTGAGGGGAATATCTAGGAATCTGGGGAAGGGGAGGATGGAGCCGGGTAGCTGCCTGGAAGCCTCAGTACCACAGCGGTAAGGACGAGGCTGGGAGGTTGGCCAAGTCCTGCCCTGTGTGTGGTCACCACCTCACCTGATCCCTTGTCCTTTTCTCTAAGGCCATTGTCTCTCCTGGGCAGTTGTAAGGTTCAGATTCCAGGCTGTGACTTTAGCTGGTCAATGTGGCTCTGGCTGGAACAGGACATGGTGACCTGGAATCTCCATCCACAACCTTGGTATGCACTCAGCCACCTCCTGGGGCTCTCCCCAGCACTGACCAAGCTTCCTGCTTAGTAGGGAGAGGTGGAGCACAGGCTAGAAGTCAAGCCTCTTCTGCCTGCAGACTAGCTTGGAGACCCGCCCATGTGTCTCTGCCCCTCTGCCCCCAAGGGCAGGTGTCCCAGTGGCCTTAGTCTGTGCTAATCCCTGCTGTGGGCCTCCTTTCTGCAGTCTAGTTAAATGCAACTTGGCTTCCTCCAGGCCCCTGCCTGTCACTCCAGCCTCCAGCTCTTTCCTGCACAGACACCTTTCCCCTTGGGCCTCAGCTCCAAGACTGGTGGTTGCCTTCTTCTTGAAGCGATGTGTGAGGCAGCCTAGAGTGTGGGTTCTATCTACCAGGGTAGGTGGTCCCAAGGGACTCAGATCCAGCTCAGAAATTTCTGGCTGGGTTACCTGATGTCTGCCCTGTGATTCAAGGCATAAACAAGGTGGCCCTAAGGACGGCAGGGGTCCAAAGAGGATGGAGACCTATGCCATTCTACACCCTGCTCGAAGCTAGTGCAGCCTCAGCCCCTTCCTGTGGAGGGGGACAGGGACAGGACTCGGTGTAGGTGTGTGCAGTGAGTGGCTGGCATCTCTGAAGATGAGTATGTGGGGGTGGGGGTCCCCTTCAGCCATCTGTGAGGCCTTGCCTGCTCCCAGAACTGCCTGGAACCTGGGGAGACTGTAAACAACGTCCTGCAACCCCAGAAAAAAGCTGCGATGTGTGAGGGCTTGCTCTGCCTAAGCATGATTCTGAGCACCTGCAGGGAGTACAGCAAATGGATGCTGAGGCCTGGAGGGCAGACCCCAGAGAGCTGAGTGCCCCTCCAGGTTTCATGGCTGGCACTATGGACCAGTGCGGCCCACTGCCTGTCACCCCACAGGAAAGCTTCTGAGGTGCAGAACCAGTGGCCTGAGTTCCAGGGACAGGAAGTGTCTTGGTGTGGGGTTCTTGTGGTGGCACTTGCATGCCCTAGTGCACAGTGGGAGGAGGGAGGCTCTGTTGCCTGGGCCCTTTCTCCTCTGTGCCAACAGATTGGGAAGTGAGCATGGAGAGTGCCTGGCCATCCCATCACAGCACAGGTTGAGTGCTGAGATACCCACAGCCCTTCCCAGCCTGGTGGCTCTCCCCAAGGCTTGAAAACCCTGTGCTCCCTTTGTACCCCCAAGCCCATGCTTGGCTCCCAGATCCACCTCGAGCCCTTTGGACCCCAGACGTCTCCCCAGATGCACACTCCTGGGATTCTGGTACTGTGTGAGGTTGCTAGAACAGGGCAGTCTCCCCAGGGATGGGATCTGCTTATATGGAGTTTCCAGCTGGCAAAAGCTTATTTTCCAGTCTGAGCCAAATGCCTGACTTTTCCCCCACAGAGGCACTTGGACAGGAAGCTGGCTTCTCTGCACAGCCAGGGGCACCGAGTGAGCCCCATCCTTCCCAAGTGTCCTCCACGTGGCTCACTGGCTGTGGAAAGAAGGGCTTGGCCCCATGGGGACATGCCAGTGCAGAGCTCTGGCCTCCAGCCAGAGGGACACTTTTCCTTGAGGCTCATGGCTGTAGCACAAGGTGCCCAAACGACTCTGGCCAGGTAGCCCCGCCTCCTACTGCCCCAGGGCAGCTGTCTCCCAGCCTGGGTGAAGGAACAAGGAAGGGCCCCTGCTCAGAGCCTTCGGGCAGCAAAGGCCAGACACCCCTGCCTGGGGTCCAGAGGCCCCAGCATACACCCATCCCCTCTTCCTATGAGCAGCTCATTTCACTCACTGAGGAGCTGGGCATGCCCCAGAGGGGCCCTGAGCAACCCAACCCTTTCCTAAGCTTCCCCCTGGGTGAGGGGCAGGCAGTTGTCCTGGGGCTTCATCTCCCGGGCCCAGCCCCCTGCTCCGAACACTGCTCTCTGCCAGGCCACCCCAAGGCCTTGTGAACATACCCTTTTACCCACACCATGGGATCTTGCCCACAGGTCACAGGGAAGGCCAGGGTGCAGCCCAGATCCTTCTTGGCCTGGTGGTCGGCTTCTTAGGGAGTCAACACTGTGGTCACAGTGCCCTGCCCTGGGTGGACACTATTCTCTCCCTGTCCCTCTTCTGCAGTGTCCTCAGATGAGGGTGGCCTGGTCCCTGCAGAGGCACAGCCTCCAAAGTCCATGCATAGATGGGCCCATATAGGGATGAACACAGGACAGGAGGCTGCAACAGGATCCGGTTTATTCTGCCTTGGCAGGGTGGTCCTGAGAGTGGCGGGTGCCACCCTGTCCTGGGTGGAGGGAGGGCCCGAGGGCCAGTTAAGGCCAATGGCGGGAGAAGCGGGGGGCTGCAGCCCCTGGAATGCGGTGAAGCCAGGCCGAGGCCCGGAGGCAGCTGTGGTAGGCCGGGGCAGGGTGGAAGGCACCGGACTGGGACCGGGCCAGGGCTACAGGGCCGAGGACCCAGGCCACACGGGCACCCCGGGAGGCGGGGCACAGGGTTACATGACACAGAACATGAAACACAGGCACAGTGCTCACAGTAAGCACATTGACAAGTGGGCACAGGGTCACAGGCCAGATGCACACCCAGCTATGGCTGGGCCAGACACCAGGGCACAGTGGTGGTGTCACAGACCACAAGGGGGACACGGCATTATGGGACACATGGATTTGACAGCCACAATGCACAGACCAGACCACAGAGCTCGAGGGACGTGGGAAGGGGCCTTTTGGCACTACAGCACTGGATTCATGTGAGACAAGGGTGGTGGGGCACTCGGGAGGTGCCTGGGGTGGTCCCCTTGGGGCCCCTCTAGGCTTAGTCCGTCTTCCACACTTTGTTGAGCAGCTTCACCACCTCATCATAGATGATAAACACTATGGCCACATCCAGGCAGACCCGGCCCAGGCGGGGGACAGTGCCCTTGTAGAATCTGAGTGGGAGGAGGGGCAGGGAGAGGAAGGCAGGTCACCGCAGTGTCCCTAGCAGCGAAACCCCCAGAAGCTGGAGCGAGAGGCATAGAGGCCTGAAAGGAGATGGCGTGGGGAGGCCAGGTAGGTCGGGAAAGGTCTGAGGTGGGGACAATAGCCCTGGCCCTCCCCCACTCACGCCTTGAGCCCCTCCTTCCTCAGGATCTGCAAGCCACAGTCCCACGTGTTGCGGTATTTGTGCGCCTCCAGGCCCTGCAGGACATCAGCAGGCAGGGGCTGAGCAGCTAGTTCTGGCCTCATCCCCCTTCCCTCCCCTTCCCTATCCCCCACCTGCATCCGGGTCTTAATCACGTCCAGAGGAGTGTTTCCAAAGACACTGGCTGCGCCCGCAATAGCTCCGAACACTCCAGTGATCAGTGGGTTCATGGGCTTGTTGGGGTTGTCCCCTGGATATGGGGGGGGGTGAGTGAGTTGTGGTTAGAGGGTGCTGGGAGGAGCCTAGACCAGCACCTCAAAAGGTGGGTACCCGCCACGGGGTAGGGGGGAGGGCCAAGGAGAGGAGAGTACCTGGCTGTGTGCGGAGGCGGGGCCCTGTGGTGCAGACATACCTCGGTACCAGTTCCGCAGGGAGGTCATAACGAAGAAGCGGATGGCCTGGTTCGAGCCCTGCTTCAGCACGGTGGCCGTGAGGCCCTGGTATGTTCCCTTCAGCCCTGGGGGCAGGCAGGCACCGGGTTACCCTGCAGCCTCTCAGGCCCCGGCTGGGAATTGGTGGCGGGGGAAGGGGAGGGGAAGAGGGAGGCAGGTGCTGCACAGAGTCCAAAGCAGGATGGGAGGTGCAGGTCCTTCCCACCCTGGACCAGGTCCCTGAGCCCTGGCGGGAAGGTCAAGTGGCTCACCTTGTTCCCGCACAATCTCCCTAACCCCGTGGAAGAATCCTCTGTACTTGGGGTTTGGAGAGGTCTGGTCGTGGATGAACTTCACCTGAGAGAAGCAAGGGGGGCAGGTTCTCGGCTGCCACCTGGGTGGGTCCTGGCTAGCAGGCAGGACCAGGGCCCATGGTGGGGGGGAACTGGGGCTGCAGCTCCTCCCTGGGAGGCAGCGCCAACACCACCCACACGGACCATGCCCTGGGACACAGGGCAGCCCTGGTAGCCAGACTCTACCTTTACGTTTGCTGCTTTTTTCCAGTTTTGGCAGTGAACGTGTCATTTGTTTTCTGCTTTATAAAAGTACTTTGTAAAAACTTTAGGGCTACCTTTAGCAAAGACTCGGCTTCCACAGGCAGCCCTTCCTGGCAGGCGTCCTGCCCCAGGGCCCCGAGATCACCTTGCTGATCTTCCTTGGCACCCACGAGACCCGCCCCAGCTTGCCGGTTGTCTCTGGAGCGAAGGGCCAGCGCGGCCGCCCCTCCCCCTACTCCCTGCATGTCCGGGGTCCTCACCAGGACCTTCCCCACCTTGATGGTCTCCATGGGGCACACGACCACTACGGCCTCAGCCACGCCGGCACCCAGGCCGCACAGCAGCCCGCGTGTGCTGTCCAGTCGTCCCTGGGCATCCCGCATGTGGTTGCTGAGGAACTCGAACATTCCGAACCTGCAGAATGGAGGCGGGTGAGTGGGGCTGCCGTGGCCTAGCCCCCCTCCCGCAGCAGGCCCGGGCCGGGCCTTACCTGACAGCCGCCTTGGGGATGGAGCCGTAGAGCAGGGAGCTGAGGCCGCGGTACAGGCCGAGGACGCCATGGCTGCGGACCGTCTGCCGCACGCAGTCCCCTGGGGAAGGGGGCAGTCAGGACTCCACCGCCCTTCGTGCTGCGGCCCTGGGTGCCCGCCCCCTGCGGCCTCCCCCTCCTCACCGATGCCCCGGTACCGCGGCGGGTGCGAGCGCTCGTCCAGCTGCAGCTGCGTCTTCACGTACTCGGTGGGGAAGGTGATGCATATTTCGATGCCGCCCGCCAGGCCGCCTGTGGGGACCGGGCACTGGCTTCTGAGACCCTGGCCCGGCCGCCGGCGCTCGGGCCCCTCCCCCGTCCCGGACTTTGCCCGGCGCGGCCGCCGCGCCAGTGTCGCGGGAACCCGGGCTGGGGCCCCACGCCCCCATCCCGTTGTTCCGGCGAGGCGCAGGGGTGACAAGCGGCAGGCGGGCGAGCCCCCGCGCGGCGGGTGGGGACCAGGACCGCTCCCCACGATCCCCCAACCCACGGCCCAACCCGGAAGTGGGGCGGGGCCTCGGCGTCCCGGGCCCACCCGGAAGCGCGGCGGGACGGGGGTCCGCATCCCGGAGGGGCCCACCTGCCAGGATCGCCTTCCCCGGGTGCGTCAGCTTGGCCTTCCCGGACGCTGGCGCGGCGGCCGCCAGAGCTCGCGGGCCGCGGGGCGCGGCCATGGCGGGCGGCAGGCGGGGCGCCCGGTGGTGAACTCGGGTCCGAGCCTCCTGAACTCCACGCTCGGTCTGGGGTGGCGGCGGCGGCCGGTTATGGTCCCGGGGGCGGGGCGGGCGCGTCAGCTACGGGTCCCGCCCCGCGTGGTCTGAGCCGGGCTCCGCCCCCGGCCCACCCCGTGCGGGCCGGGAAACTGAGGCCGGGGCGGGGCGCGCCGAGGCAGGCGTAGGGGCGGGGCTAAAGCGCAGCCAATGGCCGAGGCCGAGACCCTGGCGACGGCGAGCGGCGGGGCCAGGGGCGGGGCTGCGGGAGGCAGGGCTACGGCCCAGCCCCGAGCTATGGATCAAGGTGCACAGTGTGCCGCGCCGCCAAGGGCGCGGGGTGCGGGTCTTGGGTCTGCGCGACTGCCGAGAGCGAGGGGATCCCGGAGGCCAGGGGCACACCTTCCCTGAAAACACGTAGGGCTAGCCCCGTCCCTGAGGAACTCGAACGTTCTGGCTGAACCTGGAGGCAGGTGAGAAGGCGCTACGCCTCCGGGGCCCCTCCCGCAGCGGCCAAGTGCCGGGCCTCACCTGGCGGTTCCCACCCACACCTCTCCGGGATTTAGAGTTCCTGCGCTCAGCGAACATGGTCAGGAAAGACCCCAAATACAAGCAGCTGTATTCTTCTAGGTGGCTTCTCTGGGCAACGCAGATCCCACATCCTGCAAAGAGGTCCCAGGAAATCTTTAATGGACTGCGGGGCCCAGGAAACTGGACCCTCTCCTTCCTACCCACACCAGCACCAAGCAGAGCACCGTTGCCTGGATAAACCGACTTTAATATTTATGATAGCCAGGAGGCTCGGAGTCCTGTTATGAGGCCTGGTACCTCCAAACAAGACGTGTTCAGGTTGTCTTCAAACTGGCCTGGAGGGGGCAGCTCCAGCCAGTGGGGGACACTCACAAGGAATGCCTGGCTCCAGCAGAAGGGCCCACAGTCCAGTCCTGTTGGCGGCTGAAGCTGGTCTTGCACCGTCAGCCTCTACCCTGGCCTCCCCAGGCTCTGGGATGGCTCAGAGGTTGCCATCATTGGGTTTCAGCAAAAATAAATAACGTCCAGGTGTCCCCGCCTCCCACTGCGGGCCCCTGTGTTGCTGGAGTGACATGCTCCTTGGAGAAGTTAGTAACTCTGCAGGTAGAGTGGGTGGAGACAGCGCCCACTACAGGCGTAAGTTGTACATGAGAGGCTGGAGAAAGGCAGGAGCAGCGGCATATCCAAAGGGGAAGCTGGCAGGGGCTGGGGCCGCGGAAGGGCCTGCTGTCAGTATCAGCTGCTGGCCTGCAGAGAGGGACACCCATAGTGAGCAGAGCTCTTCCTGCCCATGGGGTCCTCTTCTGGCTTCCCCTGAGTAGCCCAGGACCCAGAGAGCAGGGTCTACAGGACCAGCCCTTACCACCCAGAGGCTGAGACACCAAGGGAGCAGGCACCCAGAGGCAAGGAGCATGGGGTCTGCCAGAGAGGCTGGCCTGGCTTGAGGGTAAGCTAGTCCCCAAATGGGACACTTACTTAGTGCAACTGGTTGGGTCTCATTCATGCCCATCAAAATCTAAAAAAACCAGATTGGTATTAATGGTGGAGGGACACACTCAGCAGGAGGCTTGTGACCGCCGGCGTGCTGCACACTCACACCACACCCTCAGGCCTGTGTTGGCCCCGAGGTGTTCCAGTACCCCTACCCCACAGCCTGTCCCGTCTGCTCTACAGCCAGGCTGCCCTGGGCAGGTTCTCAGGGCACAGCCCCTCCCAGCACACACCAGCAGCAGCCTTGCTGCCCAGGGGGCCAGGCCTGGCAGGACACAGCAGCAGCTCACAGCTAGGCAGGCACCCCCATCGGAAGGCAGGCACCTTTACAGCAGGGAGGACAGTGGCCATGCCAGCGTTCCTGGACATACACTTCTCCACACCCAGCAGCCACTGGGATTGTTCCGGCCCCTACCCATCCATTCCCATCCTCATCCCCATTCAAAGCCCGGCCAGGAAAGGGCAGTGGGACTTGAATCCCTCCCTGCTCCCTTTTCAGGGGGTTGGGGGCTACAGGTGCCACCTACCAAACATGAGAGGGGCAGGCTCCGTCACATGCTCCTCTTGCTTGCACAGACTCTCCAAGGCATCCAGTTTGTCCACCTGCAAGGAGGCGAAAGCATGTGAACAGCTGCTTGACAGAGTGCAGTCCCAGCCTCCAGGTGAACGTGGAGTGGAAGATCAGGACACAGGGCCTCCAGGAGAGTGAGAACGGAAGAGGTGGACACAGGCAGATGTGGAGCAGCCCAGCCCACACCCCATGCACTTTTAGAATGCAGCAAGGCGTGGAGAGGTGAAGCCTTGGTAGCTGGCTGAGACAGAGTGCCCAGCAGGGTCCCCAGGGCTTCCCAGTGGGCACTGGGGCAGTCATTTGTTACAGGCTGAGGGTGTGGCCTGCTCATGGGGGCCAAGTCCTCCTTTAGATATAAGGACACTGCCATTTACTGACCTGCAGGGCTAGGGCCATGCCAGGGAACAATACCTGCTTCTGACTCCAGCCAGTCCAGTCTGCCCACCCCTCCTGACTAGCAGAGAGATCATGGCTCTCAGAGACAAGTCACCTGGCACCTAGACACTTCACCTGAGAAGCACTGAGGACAAACTGCCTCCTCACTCTTCCCTGAGGCTTCACCAGGCACCAACCCTGCCTCTTGCCAAACAGCAAGGCGGCAGCAACTGTGCAGCTAGGATCCCCTCACAAAAGCACTGAGTAAGAAAGAGAAACAAGGATGTGCCCCTGTGAGCCGGGGTCTGGGGGCTGAGAGGTGAGGAGGGAGCAGGACAGGTGCACTGGCCCTGCTGCCTGTCCTTGCTACCTACAGCTTGCTGACACTCAGGCTGAGGGCTCAACTAGGCCTGTACTGTCCCTGCACTGGAAGAGCACTGGGGGCGTCTCAGAGGGATGGCCCTCGAGTTTCCCAGATGAGCCACAAGGCCCCGGGCCCAGCTGTCCTCCAGGAAGGGACTGTACTTCTTGTCCGCACCCTCATCCTCCCAGCACTGCTGTGTGGAGTCAGCTGGGCCCCAGCTCAAGCTGAGAATCAGCTCACACCCTGACACCACTGACTGGGAAACCCCTTGCCAGCCCCCTCCTCTCCTTGAACTCTCCCCATGACAGGCACCTCATCTGCCCCTGTAGGAATAGGTGGGCAGCAGCAGGGCAGAAGCCACCACTTCCCAGGGCCAGTGGAGTCTCAGAAAACCAGGCCAAGGCTGTGCTGCCACAGTGTGGACAAAGGTGACAGTGGCTGCTAACTCAATCATCTACAACAGAAAGAATGTGCTCCTCAAAGTCCTGGGGGATCCCCTGGTACTTTGACCCCCACAGCAATGACATCCCTGAGGCCTGGGTGAGCCTGAGTTCCTCTAACACGAACCCATGGGCCTCTACTGTCAGGAAGAGATTCATGCACATTCTTCCTTCCTTGTGCAGATTCTCAGAACACAGACTGCTTTCAGGAAAGACACCTGAGGGATGGGAAAAGCCGCTTATCTTGGTGAGAGCAGCTTCTACAGGCACACACCAGACACTGCACACCACACACCGCACACCACACACCACATTCCATACACACGGCCTATAGGGAGCTGCCATCCACTTGGTGGGGGAACCAGGGCCCTTGTCAACCCAATCAGTCTATGTCCTCTGGCAGCCCACTAATCTCAGGCTACGTGGTCAGGGCTGCCCTTCCTCCCCACCCCTTGAGAGTCATCAGGGAGTCTCTCACTCAGGTGTGGTATGCAAATGGGATGGGGTCTCACTGTCCTGCAGGAGGGTGATGGCCTCTGGGATGGCCTTCTTCAGGGGCTGGGCAGCCCCCTGGAGGCTAAAGCAGGCAGCATGGGCCTGCCTTCTGGTTTCCTTCCTACCTCCCACTCCCCTGGGAGGCCCCTCCCTTCCCTTGCTCCACTGAGTGATGCCTCAGCATGAGTGCCTTCTGAAAGTTTCCATCTGGCTGAAGGAGGTTAGATGGGCAAGTAGATGCTACTAGAGGTGGCTTTTCCAGTGTTAGAACAAACTGTACCAGGTGACACTGCTGACACAGGTCTCTGGACAGGGGCTAAAGCTAGGTCGCAGCAGGGACTCCTAGGACTTCAACACCCAGGGAGAGTTTTATAATCAGATACTGTCACTTCGAAGAAGCAGACAGAGCCATTCTCCCTATAGCTGTTAGGATTCAGTGCATCCGTGAATACTCCGACTACGTGTTCAGCAAAAGGCAGCTACCACCAACAGGTATGCTAATAGCTGCACCCCCCAGACGCCACTGGGAGCTCCACAGGGAGCTGGGATTGCCAGCCACCTCACTGTCACCCTGATGAAGTCCAGGGCTGGGGACGAGCATGCCTGTTGTGTTCCTGGCAGTGTGCCCACTGGACAGCTGCCCTGGGAGGGTCTGCAGGAGAGTTGCTGCCAGTGAGCACTTTCCATGATGATTTTCTGGAAGGGCTTAATGTTGGACAGAAAACCACTTGAGCATGAAGGAAAGTAGCCACTCCTGAAGGCAGGCCAGGGCTGGCTGGGCAAGCTGAGTTGTCCTCAAATGGGCCCACCCTTAAGGACCCAGCAGACCTAAGGCTAGTCACTGCCAGGGGTGGGCCATGCCACACAGAGGCCAGGGAGCTGCAGCTGGCCTGGCACCTACCTTGCTCAGGTACTCCCTCATCACCTGGATGAAGTAGGGCATGGCCAAGTTCATGAGGTTGTGCCTCCAAGCCAGCTCGAGCACCACATCTGGGCGAAGCAGGTCATAGCAGGTGAAGAGAGCGGCTGTGAAGCATTCCCTCTTGTCTTCCTCCAGGAACCACTGAAGCAACTTCTGGGCCAGCTCAGCATCCTGCGATTCTGCGGCATGCTGCATGGCATCCTGTAGCCAAGGCAAACGCTTGCTTGGGCATCCTGCAAGCAGAGGCCTTGTGCCTGCAGCAGCTGGACCAGCAGGGCAGGGAGTGGCGCCAGGCTCCACGAAGGCCTTCCTGCACTGTGGAGCAAGTCTGGACCCATGGCCGAGCCATTCCTGGCACCCTGCTGCCCACTGGTACCCCCTCCAGGGGCTGTGGAGGGGACAGAGCATGGTCCTCTTAGCCCCTGTGGAACTGCCTGCAGGTGGCTCACAGAGGCACAGGTGCCATGGGAGACAGGAACTCCGGCCCTGAGGGCAGAGGGCGTGCACAGGTTGCTGTGAGGCAGGCACTGATGGGGGTTTGGGGGTTGGGGTGTTGCAGAGGTGTTGTGCTCAGGCCCATGGAGCATGACGCCAGGGGAGCAGTCAGGAGGGATATGGCTACTGCTCTAGAAACAGCAATTTGCTTTGTCTTCAAGTGGCTCAAAACCCCCTAACTGCTGTTTTCATCCTTGCAAATGCATTTGTCTAAGACAGTATCATTGATAACACCTGCACCTGACCAGTCCTGACCAGCCTGCACTTTCTGTGGCCATTCTCTATTTTTTAGCCCCACAACAGGCACTGGATCACCTGACTCCAGCATGGCCCTCTGTGGCAAGGGCTATTAGTATTCCTTTCTGAGACCAGGAACCTGAGACCCAGATGAAATCAGGTACACAAGGCCACTCCACCTGGAGTTGGCCATGACCCACTGACAATGACCTGTGCTCTCCAAGGATACCCTGTGGCAGTCCCAGCTCCACATACCCGCCCTGCAGCACGTGCCTCTGAGTTCCGCTTGGAAGGCCCCTGAGGACGCCCAGTACCCACATCCGCATGGATCCAACATGCTGAGCTGGCTCCAGAAAGAACTATCTCCTGTCGGCATGCTGCTCACCGAGCGCTACCTCCTGCCCCACACTGTTCCTACAAAGGCACCAGGATTCTGACCCGCAAGTGAGAGCTCCTGGTGCCTTTGGGTCGCCACTTTGAGGACCTGTGACACCTGCTCCCTGCCGTGCCCTCCACTGGCCCAACCTACCCTTGCTGACTTGTCCTCCACATGTGCCGAAAGTGGGCACCGCACTGTCCCTCCTCTGTGGGCCTCAGGGACTGTCTCACTGGCTTCCCAGAGGACTTCCAGTAGAAGCAGCCCCTGGGAAGCTCCCAGTCAGCCTCCTGCTCCTGCGGCCTGGAGCCAGCTCGAGTTAGGCACTCCCATGCCCTCTTCTCTCATCGCCACCCTGGCCCATGCCACTCTCAGGGCAGCTCGATCCCGGTCCCATCCCTGTGTCCAGCTCTCCAGTCTACACCTGCAGGACCCTGCTCTTCACTGGTGAGTGTAGGAGGGCCCCACTGACCAAGTTTTCATCTAAATGCTACTTCTGTCATCTGGAAATATGTTTTTCTGTTGCTGGATGGCTTTGCCCCTGACTGGACACACTGTGACCTGGCCACTCCTCCAGGAAGACTCCAGGAGGCTTCATCTCTGGCCTCAGGGTAGGCTCCTTCAATGGCAGTGCTGACCTTGGGAGGTATGTGGGGGCAGCCGCCTGTGCATCGGGGCTTGTGGGCCCCATCCTGCCTCTACCTCCTACATGTAGCACCACACCCTCAGCTGTGACAACCAAACATTCCCTGGGGCTACAGTCACCCCTGGCTTAGAGCCACTGTATGCTCAGCTACTTTCTATCTGTGGCTTTGTCCTCTGGACTCTCTTCTGGGCCCACGTGGCTTGGAGTGGGTGGCTGGGAAGGCCAGTAGACCTCTGGCAGCACTTATGGCCCTGCTCACTCATCACTGCCTGAGTGTGGAGGAGGCTGTGTTTAAGCCCCTGACAGGGTCCACATGGGTGAGACTGGCTGTGACCAGCCAGCTGAGGGTGGCCTTTCCTCAGTTGTGTCTGAGCCCAGCTGCCTCTTCCCAGAAGCCAGGTCCAGAGACCTCCACGTGGAGTCTCAGAGCCTCAGCAGCTTTTCCTTTCTGTTCCCCTGTGGGCACCTCAGGAAGGACCACAAGCAGTGTCACTAAGGGCTGGATGTCACGGACACTCCAAAACACTGGAGGTGACAAAGTAAGGTCAAACACAATGCAACACTGATGCCAGGGATCACAGGCCTCCATGGAGTCCGAGCCAACAGCCACAGCCCAGGAGCCATGAGAATGAAGCCCCTGTGCTGGACAAGAGGTGGCAGCTGTCCATGTGTCCTGGGAAGATACTCAGGAATGCCCAAGGCCAACTCCAGAAGTAACACCCTCAGGTCAAGTCCAGAGTCTCTGGGAACATGGAGACCTTGGGAATTGGCTCAGCTGTGTAACACAGCACAAAGACCCTCTGGTACAACTCCACCTTACTCCCCGGGCAGATGTTCAGGCCAAGCAGAGGATGTTAATGCCTTCAGGGTCTTGGTGGTCCCTCCAGGCAGCCCAACCTGCCTGGCAGATGCCTGGACCCCAGTCAAAGAATGGTACTAAGATACCTCTCACCAGCAGAAAAACACATTCTTTTTTTTTTTCCCTCTCAAGTGATCCTCTCACCTTGGCCCCTAAAGTAGCTGAGACTACAGGTGTATACAACTGTACTCAGCTTTGAAACACATGTTTTGAATGTGATTTTATTTTTTTCCTTTTTTTTTTTTTTTCCAGACAGTGTCTCACTCTGTCACCCAGGCTGGAGTGCAATGGTGCGATCTTCACTCACTGCAACCTCCACCTCCTGGGTTCAAGCGAGTCTCCTGCCTTAGCCTCCCAAGTAGCTGGGATTGCAGATGTGCACCGTTATACCTAGCTAACTTTTGTATTTTCAATAGAGATGGGGTTTCACCATATTGGCCAGGCTGGTGTTGAACTCCTAACCTCAAGTGATCTGTCCGCCTTGGCCTCCGGATGTGCTGGGATTATAGGCGTGAGCCACTGCTGGGCCTTTGAATTTAATTTTAATTTAGGTTCTAAAATTCCTTGTTGCCTAGGGAGCAGTGGTGTGATCATAGCTCACTGCAGCCTCCGACTCCTGAGCTCAAGTGATCCTCCCTTCTCAGCCTCCCAAGTAGCTGGTACTAATATCCATCATTACACCCAGTGAAGTTTTTGGAAAGACAGGGTCTTGCCATGCTGCCCAGGCTGGTCTCAAACTCCTGGGCTCAAGCACGCCCCACCTCAGCCTCCCAAAGCACTGAGATTACAGGTAATTCCCCAAATCTTCATAGGAAGTAAAGTGGGTGCTAAGAAGTGAATCTTGCCACACTGTTTTGGTAGAGTGAAACTTACACATAACTGCCACGAAAATAATCAACTCCATAAGGCTCTGTCTCTCAATCCAAACAATTTTTAAGGGGTTTTAGATCACTCCCAACTGTTACCCCATGTTCTAAATATGGTCTCCCCTTAACACCAATCCCACCACCCACCATGAGGATCTCCTGGTGAAGCTCAGAGCCAGGTCTCAGGAAAAAGAGGGAAGGGGTGTGATCCCCAAAGCATCAGGAGGCACACTGAGGCGGGAGGGTGGAAGGAAACAGGGGCCCGGGACACCAACCTTGTAGAGATGATCCTTCTTGCAGAGCTCCACGCTCTGGGCCCACTGGTTATTGCCCTTGTACAGAGAGGCCGCAATGCGCCTGAACTCCATCAGCTGGTGCTTCTCCAGCCGCTGAGCCAGGCTGATGTTGTCAAAGTTGTCATAGGCATCGATAGATGCCCTTAAGCCCTAGGAAGATAGCCTTTGAGGGATGGGACACTGATAGGGGCTGCTGCACATAGAGCAGGCACATTGTGTTACTTGATGGCTGTTGCTATCACCATGGCCTTAGAAAGGCCCCTACCCATATATCCACTGGTGTCCCATAGGGCCTGCACACCCTCCTGTGCAAAAGCAGCCTCTTTGATAACAGAATGGCAGGTGCAGGGGAGGAGCTCAGCCCACCCGGGATAGGGCTCCCTCCTGCACACCCACCTGATAGTCCTCCTCCTCTGTCAGCAGGTGGTTGAGTGCCTCATTCACACTCTTGTTGTTGTGGCTCTGGACTGACCGCAGGTAGGGTTTCACCAGGGGCAGCTGACCTGCCTGACAAGTTGGGGGAAACATCAAGGCACTTGGCCAAGCTTGTTCTGGGGATACTAGGCAGGGGTACAGGTGGGCACATGCATGCCATCCACTTGAATAGGCCAGCTCTGGAGCCTGGGGCACTTTCTGGACACCTGGAACCAAAAGGCCTATACTCACACAAAGAGGACTGTCTGGGCCATTCAGTGGATGCCAATGTCACCATAGACATTCACACCTCAAAGACACTGTGGTTTGGTTCCAGACCACCACAATAAAGTGAATATTTCAATAAAGTGAGTCATTAACTAACGTTTATGCTGCAGCATGTTAAGTGTGTAACAGCATTATGTCTACAGAAACAGAGTACACACCTTAATTAAAAATGCTTTATTGCTAAAGAATGCTAACAATCACCTGAGCCTTCAGTGAGCTGTAATCTTTTTGCTGGGGAAGGTCTTGCCTTAATGCTGATGGCTGCTGATTCATCCAGGTGGTGGCTGCTGAAGGCTAGAGAGGCTGTGGCAATTTCTTTTTCTTTCTTTCCTTTTTTTTTTTTTGAGATGGGGTTTTGCTCTTACGCCCAAGCTGGAGTGAAGTGGTCCAATCTCGGCTCACTGCAATCTCTGCCCCCCAGGTTCAAGTGGTTCTCCTGCCTCAGCCTCCTGAGTAGCTGGGACTATAGATGCCCACCACCACGCCTGGCTAATTTTTATATTTTTAGTAGAGATGGGGTACCTCCATGTTGGCCAGGCTGGTCTCAAACTCTTGACCTCAGGTGATCTGCCTGCCTTGGCCTCCCAAAGTGCTAGGATTGCAGGCGTGAACCACTGTGCCTAGACAGCAATTTCTTTTTTTTAAGATGGAGTCTCGCTCTGTTGCCCAGGCAGGTACAGTGGTGCAATCTCAGCTCACTGCAACCTCTGCCTCCTGGGTTCAAACGATTCTCCCGCCTCAGCCTCCTGAGTAGCTGGGATTACAGGTGCACATCACCATGCCTGGCTACTTTTTGTATTTTCAGTAGAGATGGAATTCCACCATGTTGGTCAGGCTGGTCTTGAACTCCTGATCTTGTGGTCCACCCACCTCAGCCTCCCAAAGTGCTGGGATTGCAGGCATGAGCCACTGTGCCCAGAAGGCAATTTCTTAACATAAGACCTCAGTGAGGTTTGCCTCACTGACTGACTCTTCCTTTTATGTAAGACCACTCTGGACTTGTGTTTCATAAGACAAAAACAAACAAAACAAACAAACAAAAAGACTGCTCTGTAGCATGCAGTGCTCCTCAGTAGCACTGTACTCACAGTAGAACATCTTTCAAAATTGGCCTCAGTCCCAACCTTGCTGCTGCTTTATCAACTAAGTTTATATACTATTCTAAATCCCTTATAGTAATTTCAACAATGTTCACAGCATCTGCCCCAGGAGTAGATTCTATCTTAAGAAACCACTTTATTTGCTCATGCCTAAGAAACAAGACCTCATCTGTTTAAGTTTATCCTGAGATTGCAGCAATTCAACCTCTTCTTCAGGCTCCACTTCTAATTCTAGTCCTCCTGCTGTTTCTACCACATCTGCAGTGACTTCTTCCACTGAAGTCCTGAACCCTCAAAGTCATCCAGGAGGGTTGGAATCCACTTCTTCCAAACTTCTGTTAATATGGAAATTTTCCTTATATAATGATGTCTTATTTATTTTCAACTTTTTGTTGATACATGATAGTTGTGCAAATTTATTGGACAGCTATCATGTATCAATAATATCAATATTACGTATGGACAACATATGTGATATTCTGATACATGTACATATGTGGAATGATCAAATCAGGGTAATTAGGATGTCCATCACCTTAAGCATTTATCATTTCTTTGTGTTGGGAACATTCTCTTCTAGCTATTTGGAATGCACAATAATTTTTTTTTTTGAAACAGAGCTCTGTTGCCCAGGCTGGAGTGTAAGGGCATGATCTTGGCTCACTCAACTTCTGCCTCCTGGGTTCAAGTGTTTCTCTTGCTTCAGCCTCCGAAGTAGCTGGGATTATAGGTGCCTGCCATCATGCCTGGCTAATTTTTTGTATTTTTAGAAGACACAGGTTTCACCATATTGGCCAGGCTGGTCTCAAACTCCTGACCTCAGGTGATCTGCCTGTCTCAGCCTACCAAATTGCTGGGATTACAGCATGAGCCACCGTGCCTGGCCTTGAAATGCACAAAAAATTATTGTTAAGGACAGTCAACTGACTGCTATAGAACACCACAACTTATTCTTTCTTCTTTTTTTCTTTTTTTGAGATGGAGTCTCCCTCTGTGGCCCAGGCTGGAGTACAGTGGTGCAATCGCAGCCTAATGCAACCTCCACCTCCTGGGTTCAAGCGATTCTCCTGCCTCAGCCTCCCAAGTAGCTGGGACTACAGGTGCCTATCACCACGCTGGGCTGCTTTTGTATTTTTAGTAGAGACGAGGTTTCACCATGTTGGCCAGGCTGGTCTCAAACTCCTGACCTCGGGTGATCTGCCTGCCTTCGTCATTTGCCCTCCTTGGCCTCCCAAAGTGCTGGGATTACAGGCATGAGCCACCATGCCTGGCCATTAATTAGCCTAATTTCTTTCTTTTCTTTTTTTTTGAGACAGAGTCTCACTCTCTTGTCCAGGCTGGAGTATAGTGGTGTGATCTCTGCTCACTGCAACCTCTGCCTCCTGGGTTCAAGCGGTTCTCCTGCCTCAGTCTCCTGAGTAGCTGGGATTACAGGCAGCTGCCACTGTGCCCGGCTAATTTTTTAATTTTTAGTAAACATGGGGTTTCACCATCTTGGCCAGGCTAGTCTTGAACTCCTGACCTCTTGATCCACCTTCCTCAGCCTCCAAAAGTACTGGGATTACAGGCGTGAGCCACTGTGCCCAGACTGATTAGCCTAATTTCACTGTTGTTTTGTCTTAGGGAACAGGGACGCCCAAGGAGAGGAAGAGGGACCAGGGCATGGCCAGTCAGTGGAGCATTCAGAACACACACAACATTTATCCATTAAGTTTGCCTTCTTATAGGAGCTTCCCTAAACAATTACAATAGTAACATCAAAGATCACTGGTTGTGTGCACTGGCTCAAACCTGTAATCCCAGCACTGGAGGAGGCCAAGGCAGGAAGATTTCCTGAGGCTAGGAGTTTGAGATTGCAGTGAGCTATGATCACACCACTGTACTCTAACCTGGGCAGCAGAGGACTGTCTCA